TATTACTCAGTATTGATTTGAATGGCGAGTAATTACTGGAGATCTGTCGGAAAGTCTTTTGCCGGCGTAATGTTTTTAACTTATAGCAGAAGTGAGACGTAGAAGCCAACTCTCCACCGAATTCGCCCATTTATGGACTCCTGAGTATTTTCTTAGAACCATTTCCTCAAAAGCAAATATTTTGATTTTGAAAGTGCCCATTAAAAGAGGCGATATCGATTTATCACGTTATTTACAAAGCATTATTTATCAAACCTCTGTATAGGGAAACGGCTCGTCGGCTATGTTCTATTAACTGACCGGGATTCCCAGTTCTCTTGAATACATATTGCCACAATGGCGTACACCACTGGCTATTGAACCGAATAAGAGACGTGACAGGATGAAACATTTCGTTTAGAAGCAACAATTAACGACCGACTCAAAGTGAATTTTGTATAGCTCATGCCTATAAATGGTATTATTAACAAATACATTGTTACAGGATCTGTTGAATAGCTAATTAGTAATAATTTGTTCATAAATAACTGTATGTTGCATGAGGATCGCCAGTTCATAAACAGGGCTAAAATGTTACAAATGCCACAGAATGTACTGTGATGAGTTGTTTAGCTAGGTTGATATGTATTGCGACACACTGGTCATATAAATAGGAGTTATGTGTGTACATATAAGTATGAATAATCTTATCACTGTAAATAATATTTATGGTGTGACTAATTGTTGTCCTAGAATTGTAGAGTTGTCATAGTGTGACTACCTAATCTGTATGATCTTACGTGGAATTCACACCGTTGTCTATTCTGACTCGTCGTATCATAACGATCAGCAATGTGATGTTAAGCACATCTGAGGAACACATTTGGGCTGTGGATAAAATAATACGTTTGAAATGGAAAGGAATACGTTACAGGGTGACCAAGCCTGTATGGCTGAGCCATGCCATTCTAACAATTGTTCCCGCACCCATTATCTTTGACTTATCAATTTTGCATGTTTAATTTTATTGTCAGTAGTTAAATGCTCGGCTTTGAAAATCGTGTGGTTAAGGACCGATCCCACTACAAATGAACTAAAACAGAAGTAGACCATAACTCTACAATTTTTCTAGTTTGCAGGAGGTTTGCTCGACTGCTTACATTAATGAGGTGCACGAATGTTTGTGCAACTAGACCTCCAATTAGACTAACAAGGTCTTAAACTGTTTAGTAAATGAGCAACTGGTAGAAAAATGCATCGGGATCGCTTATGTTAGATAAAGTTAACCACCTTAAAAACAAAACCATTAAGTGACAGTTTCCAGTCTAGTTGTTGGCCGGGTTTGTTGATAGTTTCATTAATTTTATCAACCATATTGCGTGACTGTCAGGTCTTATGATTGATGACGGTGTTCAAAAGTTGTTATGAATCAGCTCATATGATTTTGATCTATCGTTAGTGCGTCTAAAACAGCCCCTGCTGTTTCTGTACGATTTTTGTGCTGATGGTGTTATAAAGTAAGACGGTGAAGTCTCCAGAGTCAAACCACCGTCTACTGAAGACGAGTTAAATTACTTATGACAAATGTCTTCTGTGCTATAGGAGTGAACGGAGATAAATTCAGTCACAGATAAGTTATATCCTTAATTTGTAACTATTGGGTGAGATTTGTTGTCTGATCATATAAGGTGGTTCCTCCAAGGTTTGTTCTACTGAGGAGAAAAGATATCATAGCCAGCGAAACCGTCAGTTTGAGTGTCCAAAATAAGAAAGGCATTTTACATGATCTCTGTCGGGATACAGCCACTGTCCATGATAGAGTCTGCATTATGCGACAAGGTCAACATTAAACTCCTTTAGATGTAAATAACCCACAGAAATACATGAATGTAGTGCTACTCCATATCATTGTGTTCGAAAACCAGGTTGCTTGTAGAGGAGGCCACGGTGGGTAACAAATACTGGAAATTTTTGAAGGTCAGACCCTGATTCCAAATTAACTGCCTCAAAAGTTTTATAATGAACTCAAGCACAAAGGCAAGTTGGAGCTTACCATTCCACTTGTGGACTGTCTTGATAATAAAAAAACGTGAAAAACACAGTGATTGTCAACTCGGAAAACCTTGTATAGGTAGGCTACCTGTCCATTCACATAAGGCTCATACAGAAAAACAGGAAGGAGAAGATCAAGACTTTCAAATCGAAAGCATAAACAGCTTATACATGAACGCCGTCACTTTACCAAATAAAATGGATTAACTACGTGATCTTAGTAATGCTAATAATGCTAATCTGATAGGAGTATATTAAACGTGGATATCTTCTCAGTTTACGAACTAGGAGCTAGCAATACCTGCGATGTCTTTGTTTCACAACGACAGAACAAAGGGGATTGAGGGTGGAGTAGCCATATGTTTACGATCCTGGCTGGAGGTACACCAAGTTCACAGCCAAGAGTTTATCAATCTTGATGAATCCGTATGGTGCTCAGTAAGATTGTCCACCACTTTGGGGTGCCTAGTCAGGGTTGTAGTGGCATCGGATTCACTCATATCCTGATTCTAGGGAACCTCAATCTTCTTGAAGTCAATTTCGTGGAACACACGTATATTGGAGGTGAAAATTCAGTTGAAGCTCGGTTCTTCAGCCTCATAGAGGATCTGGGATTATTCGAATATATGAAGTCGGCAACATGACAGTCGGATGCCATCGCGCTTAGAATGGGTATTTACAAACGAAGAATTCCTAGTTGTCAACCTCTCAATTCTGGCTACCGTGGGGAGAAGCAATCACGCCGTCATAGCCTTCAGTTTCATCAGCAAAGTTGAGCTAAGACATCCCGCTAAACGGTTCGATGTGTCAGCTCTACAGGACTATCTACAACAGGTGGATTGGGGTGTTCACCCTCAACATGATGTGGATGCTCATTGGAATTTCTTACTGCACACGCTCTTATGTACTGCGAAGCAGTCAGCTGCTCAAACGGTCCTGAAAATCCACAAGCAACCTACAATCATCAGGAACCACACTCTTCGTCTGCTAAGTCGCAAAAGGCACTGTTGGGAGGAATACAAACGAACTGGTAACAACGGCGCGTACAGGCAATACAAACATATGAGGAACATATGCACGAATGCTATAAGAAAAGACGGGCTTCAATACCAGATAAAACTTGTCAACAAATTCGCCTCCAATCCGAAAAGCTTGTTCCATTGTGCAGCCTCTCTTCGTCAAGCCAAAACTGGATTTTCCCAACAGCTAGGTTCTGATGGACCGACCAATAACGACAGTGACGGCGCTAACTTTTTGGCTGAACAATACTCTCGACCATTTCAACCGACCCACATTAACTATATTGAAGAAAGCTTCATCTGCAACTGAACAGGACTTTTTGAAGTGAACCTGAGCTCTGACTTGGTGTACCGGATAATGCAGCACCTAAGAAAAGACACTTCCCCTGGCTCAGATATGGTTCATTCTGCTGTACTGAGGGAAGCAGCTTCAATCTCGGTAGCACCGCCAAGCCGAGGCAAGCTACCGGAAGTTTGAAAACTGGCTCATACCATGCCAATTTTCAAAAAAGATCGAAACAGCGAACCGACCGGTGGCCTTCCACCCCACGCGTTCAAAAGTTATGAAGTCCCTGTTCTGCGATGATATACACGACTATTTGTTATCCTCAAACTTCTCTTCACCCCAACAGCATGGTTTCAGGAAAGATCGTTCTTGTATAACCAATCTGCTGGCTATGGTGAACAGATATACAACCATCCCTGATCGCAAGGATTAGGCTGACGTCATTTACCTTGACTTCTCAAAAGCTTTTGATAGGGTCAACCAATGTGTCTTATCAATAAGTTCAGATGATTGGGTGTCAAATCGCCTCTAATTGACTGACTAGTTTCACATCTAAAAAATCGACATTTTAAGGTCAGGCTTAATTTCACTATTTCTTAGACTATGGAATGACCCAGTGGGGTCCCCGAGGGCTCAGTACCAGGACCTCTTCTTTTCCTTATTTATATAAACGATCTTCCACAACAAGTATCGTCTGACTTATTACTTTTTGCTGATGACGTGAAACTTTGGAGTGAGATACGCAACCGAGAGGATATACTGGCAATTCAGGAGGATCTAATTAGACTTCAAAGTTGGGCAGACGATAACGAACTTACCTTCAACACTTCAGAGTGTACAGTAGTCCATCTGAGACATGTTGCAGACTACTGTTACAACTTAGGAAACTCCTCTCTCGTAGTATCCCAAGTTGAAAAAAATTTAGGAGTGCTGGTACCCTAATATTTGAAGTCTAACGCTGTGACAAAAATGCCTTTCTAGCAAACCATGCACTGGTAACATCGAAGCATATTTTTGGATAGTACGACGGAAGAACTTTCCACATAATCTTCAACAGCTATGTTCGTCCCCATTTAGAGTACCGAAACATAGTATTTCCTCCCTCACTACAAAAGGATAAGGACACTGTGGAGCGTGTCCAATGGCGAGCCAGTTCGGGAACTCAAATTCAAGCCTTATGAAGAGCGCCTCCAATCACTTAATCTCTATCCATTAGAGTATAAGCGTCTTAGAAGTGACCTTCTAGTGGCTTACAGTAGCCTTAACACTTATGGAAATCTCCTTAAACACCTACTTAAGCTTAGCTCCAACACAAACCTGAGGTGTAACACCCAGAAATCGGAGACACAACACTGCAGAACGGACTGTAGACACAATCTCTACTCCTTAAGAGTTGTCAAATGCTGGAATTCTCTGCCGACTGAACTAGTCCAAGCTACTTCTCAGGAGTCCTTTAACAGGAAACTCGAACTTCTCTAAAGGAATAAGGATAATATATCACCATGATTTACCAATTTCTTCTTTCTTCTGTTATTGTTAATATACTTGGTTTCCTGCCTGGAGGTAATGTGTACATGCGATTATTATAAGTTTGCTGAAACGACGTGATACTACTAAACAAAGTCATAGACATATTTTAAGATGAATTCAATATATAAGAAGGAAAAAAAGTTGAGTTGAATTCGTCAGTATTCACGGGTCAATATCTCATATCATTCGATAGTTTTGTTTGGAAGCGCATTCACTTTAAGGCCGCTCTGTGTGGATGAAACATGCTTCAGGCTACAAATGTACGTTTCTCGCTTCTCTCATATGTACACTAGGTTCATTCTCTTGCTTTGTCCAAAATAATTAAACCGGACAAAAAGCCGGTCACTCCACTAGAAGAAGAAATTGCTCAAGTATGTTCATGCGGGTACCTGATCATCTTTTTAGGCCATCATAGACTTACAGATACACGATGACTGGTCTGATACAATGAAACTTTTGTACTTTTGTGAAGCAAAAGTTTGTTTCTTTATTTCTTATTTATACGTACCAGGAAATGACTATAGGTAAAGAAAAGGCAGTCGTTATATATGTACCTGTTCCGCAACTACGGACATACCAGCTTATACATAACAGACTCGTAGGCGAACTCGAGAAAAAGCTCCGTGGTCCTCATGTTGTACTCTTGGCTTTCCGAAGAATCATTGCAAAACCTAAAAGAAATTGCAAATTTAATCCGAAGCAAAAGCGTCCTAGAAGTAGGACCCTAACAGCTGTGCACGAAGCTATATTGAAAGATCTTGTCTACCCAGCTGAAATTGTAGGAAAACGCACTCAATTCAAATGCGATGGAAGTACAGTAATCAAATGCCACTTGGATGTTGCGCAGAGAAACTACATAGAGCATAAGGTATGTTTGTGTATTGTCTAAACTTCGTTCAGCTCAAAACTATCACTGGATTATACAAAAAGTTGACGGGTAAAGATGTCATTATCGAGTTTCCAGATTGGGTATTGTGAAAATATGTAATATATGTTTGAAATGGATTGGTTTGTTTTCAGTTTTTTCACAGTCATGGCTTATCTGTAGGATGGTACTAATAATCGAAAGCTATTGATATAAGTAATATTTTAAGATTCTGATGTGGTCGAAGCTTATTGACCAGTAAAGTTATGGGAGCACTGATCAACTATTTGTCTAATTGGCACCGCTTCCTAATCTCATGAATATTGAGTAGTCTCCACAAACCTATACTACTGTGGTATATTTTCATGTAGCCTATAAGTTCGTTATCGACTCCTTCCTAACGTCCAAACTCAAGTCCTGTCTTCCCAACGGGATAGTTTTGGTCGTAAATGATATTTTTCTAACTGAATTCCATACTGTTAGACCTTATAAGCTGACAACTATCAAATAAGTCCGACTGTAACTGCTTATAACGCAGGGGTGTGAGTTGCTTGTTCCAATTAAAATCACTGGTGTTGTCAGTTAGTAGAAGGCTTTATGTTAGCCATATCCATATGAGCCTGGCCAACTATTATCAGAATATTGGCAGATGGGTTTTTGGAAACCAGTCATAGTTATTGACCCCGGTTGATTGCGCAATAAGTGCTGTGTCCCAATAATAACATGTGACTAATATTTCAGTAGGGTTTAATTATTTCGGAATACCGTGTTCCGGTTTGTTCTGGAAAGTTTTCACCGTTCGTGCCATATTCATGAAATTTGTTATTCTTAAGTTAACATCTCCCACTGCCTGCAATTATTTATCGTCTGGAGTGCAAATAGCTCATTGCTTCATATAAGTTTAATTGAATTGGTAGTGTCGACCTCTTTTTTATTGCCGGCAAGAAAACTGGTAGAAAATGTAATGTTCATTGTGTAGAAATTTTTTTGCGTTAACTTAGCTCCATTAAAGTGTATGTATTTATATCAAAACTTGAATCTATTATTTTTTTTACGAAACCGTCAACGAAATGCTTGTCTACTACTCATTCATGTCCACTCCGCCTAGTGAGGGAGCGTGTGTTGAAATTTATAGAGATGGCTAAGTAAGCGAATTCATTGATGCGATAAGCTTCGATTATTCTAGACGACATTTTATCTTTGTGTTGGCTCGTTTTTTCTCAAATTAGTATCCTGTACGTAAGGTGTACTACGAGTGTCGTCCCAGCGGACTAAACATCATGCTTTGCCTGTCAATTCTAAAACTCTTGGACTTAGTACTTTACCGGACGTGGCTCTAAGTAGAGGCAGGCGGCAGTCCCGCTGTAGCTTTCCTTGACATCATAAGTGTGAAGGACTTCTCTAACTGGGATTATTCTTTCTATTTTCATTCTTCTGACCGAACTGCTTCTCCTAATGATCTTTTTACTGATCCACTAATTCCGATTTGTCATACTTCTCAGTACCAACCTCTGATTTTGTTGCGTATATATTTCGTTGATGCTTTGTGACAAGATTTGTGTTGAAAGATGACATTATGTACTTGATTATAAAAAGTAAGGAACAAAAATGAGAAAACAACATAATAGTTAAGATTGGTTGGTTTTTGTGTGTTAATAACAAAATAATAAGATGAGGTCGACCATAAAGTAATAACCAAAGTACATGGTGAATCTAAAGTTGATGTCGTGAGTGAGTGAGTGGTGTTAGGATTTACTATCTTAAAAACTAACAGTTTTGGACTTCTGTGTTCAAACAGCAAAAATGGAGGGCATGATATCGAATTGTATAATGAATATCTATCCATAGGAAATCCCAAACATCTGTTAGGAAAGAGCATGTCCTCATGGATCTTGGGTTCAAGGCAGGGGATATTTCTGGTAGACTTGACAAAAGGATTCAAGTGGAACTAGAAATGAGGTTCTCCACAGGTCAGTTGTTTTTAGCGTGTAACTGGATGTTTGAAGCAGATCAGTACCCTTCGGAGGTCACTAAATTCGTTTACGAATCGCCGTATAATACGTACGTAAGAAAGACCGAAAGATAAAGATCTACAAGGTTTTCTAAACATGTTCCGCAAGAGCTGTCATTGAAAGAAATAAGAGTATTCCCAAGTACGGCCATCAAACGTCTAGTAGATAATAGGTATCGCAAAGATGGGAAATAACTAACAAGCAGCGGAAACCATTTGTTTTTCTGAGACAAGTGCCGTTGGTCTGACCTATGTATGAGAAATCGTAGTCAACCCCTTGTTTGCCAATTACATGATATCCGTTGTGTTTCATAATTTAAAATATGAAAAATCCTGTAGTTTATATCACTTAGGTGGCTTGACTATCACTGATTTGTCTACAATTGCTATTCGTTGACTGCTATCATTTACAACTTCATTCCCTTCCTTTCGTTACTTTGTTTTCAACATAAAAATATCAATCGGTCCTAATTATTATGTTAAACGTGTCGTATTCTCATCTTGTTTCTTATGCCATTTAGAACTAAACATCATTAATTTTTTTTAAACTCTTTATGATGATGTGAATAAGGCCGTTTTCAGCTGATGGGGGCCCTTGAAATGTATAGAACTCATGTTATTCTGTGAAACTTGTTCTCGCTTTATTTAAGTTGTTATTATATGTTAAGTCCATTATGACTTTATGTCCGGCTTTTTATCACGTGATCAAAATACGAGTTATACAATCTTAGAACTATGCCAAACCAATGACGTTCGACCGGTATGAGCAGCCTAGCGTCCTTATTGGTGCTATGTCCGCCTAGCCCGTCCTCTTGAGTCCAGAACACCAAGTACCAGCTTCCACTATGCGAATCGAATCATTTATTTCAGACATACTGTGTATATATATCAATCAAACAGACCGCAACACACCATTAAATGGGAAGTAACATTTGTACACAATAAAGCCAAAAAGTGGCTGTGAACGTGGGAGGCAGTAGTTAATAAACTGAACATAACCCAAGAAACGTAAATCGTACAATAATGAATTATAGGTTAAAATAAAACTTATAACAAGGGGAATATAGATATACATGGTCTAGTTACCGACTATTTATACCATGAGAATATATATATATAATAATAGTCAATTAATGTCTCGGAAGTTACTCGTAACTTAATCCTCGCTCGGATATAACAAAGTCGAATGTATCCTGTGTCCTAGTACGATGATTTTCCTTTGAGTTTTCGACTAGAGTAAGTCGTTATGAAATATTGTTTTATGTACAGGAGTTATTTGTCAGTGCAGTGCATAGCGTCCGGTATTTGTTTGTTAGTACAGACTGCCTAAAACTAGTTAAGAGTTTATCTACTTGATGTCCGTTAGTGCAACTTTGTTGCAATAATAGTTTTATGTAGTAGGATAAAAATCACTCACTGAGTAGTGGTGAGCTTGGAAGGAGTTTGAAGTAAATACACCCCCTGCATACGTCATCGGCCGTATGATACCTGCTCTTCCCTTCATTTGAAATTCCTCAGTCACATGACAGCAACTACATAAGTAGGCAGTTCCTGATTTGACAATAAAAAGTTACAAATCAATTTGATGACATCCGAGTTTGATATTAATTTTAAATTGACATGTAAAGAAGAATTGTAATATATTTGTCCACAATAAGCCCAACGTTGTGTGATACACATGCAAGGATAGCTGTTGTATTTTATGTCAATTAATAATCTATTTTGACTTGGTCTGTTCATGACTGACAGTCGAAGAAACTTAAATTGCACTACATCATTAGGCAAATAATACTGACTAAGGAATGTAACTATGAACTTTCCTGACATCCATGAATATAAGCACATACGAGTGTAATCTGTTGGAAAAATTTTCTGAGTGTATTTCATCGTGTGAAAATGTCTGAGGTATGTCATTTCCCCTCTAAAAATCCGCAATGTTTCAGAACTGGTTCGTATTGATGCCTAATTTGACTACAATGAGTGAGGTAATCAGATGTCGATAATTCAACCAAGTCCGATTAGTCAGCGGCCAATAGGACCCCGACACGAATACAAAATGCCTGCATAGTGTTGTATCCGGAGATTATTTGTAGACTCTTATTACATAAATGTTACTTTTATCATAGGCCTTCATTCGACTTTTTGCTACTACTATACTATACTTAATTTGTTCCCAATCTATTATTAACAGCCTCCTACACTCACAGCCACTTTTGTCTTGATTCTGTATGACTGATTTTTTTATTTTATGGTATGATTCTGTCCGGTCTGCTGGTATATAACCCACGTATATTTGAAATATATTATTGTAATGTCCAGATAAGCATAAAGAATGGTAACTTTTGGGATCCATTTATGGACCAATACTATGTGTATATTTTTACCGTATAATTGTATTCATATTCATGTCCCTCTTATTATGAGCTTTATTTTGACCTATGAACTATTATTATACGATTTACCATTCTTGAATTATGCCCTGTCTATTAATTACTACCTCCCACATTTGGCCAAATCTTGTTTCCTATTTTATGGTACGATGTGGTCTGTCTGGTTGGTATATAAACAGAGTATGTTTGAAATAAACCCTTCATATTGCAGAGGCTGAGATTGGTGTTCTGGACTTAACTGGCTGGGCTATGCAGGAAGCAGGACCGATAAGTACTCTAGATTGCTCGCACGGATTTTATGCGTCATTGGTCCGGTCGATAATTCACTGCTCTAATTGGCGGTATCGTTACATTATACATTAACAGGGCACACATGCTACAAGTTATAATAACTATCCCCACAATGGAGGCGAATATTGCATTCTGGACTAGGCTAGGCTAGAAGATACTATATCGAGGACCAATAAGGATTCAGAGCTGACACAGGACTGCTGTTACTGTTTGACATGTCATTGGCTTATCACATGTCATAGGAGTCGATGTTCTGGCTCGCGACTTCGTCACGTGGTATTTGACGGGTATAATTCATAACACTTAGTTCCTGCCAACTCCTGTACCACGGGTTTCGAATATCCAGTGTTTGTCAACTAGAGAGTGAGTATACTGACAACAGTTCGATAATGCAATAAAAAGACGAAGATTATCAGAACTATGTGATATATTAGCACAATACATTTCA